CTGTTATTCTCCTCCAGATTCTATTTTCTCTCATCAACTTCCTTATTCTTCTTTCTCTTGTGTCAGTCTTCAAGAGTTTCATAGCCTTCGATGATGTTGCCACCTCCAATGCCGACCACAAAGCTTTCCACACTGCACATGCACAATTTAAGAAAAAAAATACTCACCCTAAATAGTTACAAATTAAATGAGCAAAGAAAACACAGGCTGGGAGAAAGGGATTGCATCTGACTATATCTGAGAGCTAGAAACTGAGCCCACCTTCCTACAAGAATACGGTAGCAGACGAACTTTGTGGAAAATTTCAAGAGATCAGGCTAAGTTCATCTCCCTCAAAAAGGCATTCTCCCTGAGCAAGCACTCAGCTCTGCATGGCTCGATGAAATACTCAGTGGCCTGAAGACAGCGCAAGCATGACTCTCTCTCCACTAGCGATTAGGGTGTTTGCCTGAGATGGGGAGACAAATGTTCCAGGCCTTTTTTCCAGAGAGCATGCAATAAAAAAAGAGTTAAGGATTCATTAGGGCAGGCTTTTCCACTCTTAAGCGAGTGCCCCTTATTACTAGCCTACAAAGTTGTGCTTAGTTTTTCTGGCCCAAAGAACATTTAAGTAGTCAATTCAAAATGAAATGCTTGATGTGAGTTTCCATAGCAGCACTCACTTTCACTCCAGAATAACTAATAGCACAGGAAACACAGGAAGAGGGCCTGCCACTTCCACTTCCACAGATACAGATTCAGGTTTTCTCAGGGAACTAAATCACTGTCTCCCATCTTCTGAGATGCCTGAATACTGAGCTACTGAGTGGGAAAAGGCCATTCTGCTTTTTGCCACCTGTTGCTTATATGGTATTTCTTGTCTGTGGATAAAGGCTAAAGTAAAGTTCAGGGCTGTGAACCCAGACTGGAAATAAATGCTTCATTGCAGTTCCATGTTTATGATTAATCCAGTATAATTGTCAACTGCTGTCAGAAGTGGTGGTCCCATCCCCCTCACCTTGCCTTACCCAGCCTCCAGGCAGCACATTGACACCACATTTCTTACATCAGATCTAGCGATGATGTAGGAAAGGGGTATGTCAGAACAGCTTGTTGGTTTCACGGAAAACTAATTTTTTTTTTTTTTTTAAGAGGAGGGGGCAAGGTGTTAGTGGCTACCCTGTGGCCGTTCAAAGCTGCAAGAGAAGAGAGTCTGCAGGACTCCGCCTCAGTGGCAGTCTTCAAATGCACCAGTGCAAACGATGTAAAACTCCACCTCAAGACTGGAGTAGAGATGATGATATACCCAGTCCTTGGCATTTTTTATTTATTTTCTTAAGAGATTCCCCAATTAGTGTTCAGGTAGTTACTGCACTGTGTAAGGAACACAGCTACCTAACAGCGAACTGCAGATTCAGTAGGCAGGGAAGTGCCCAAGAGTTAGACATACTGCAATGAATTCTACACTGCACTGTCATGGTGCGGGGAGTTTCAAACATAAATGCAGGCCATCACATGGATTGTGTGTACATTCCTAGCAAAACTGGCAGCTTTACATATGTTTTTCTGTTTGAGAAATGTTTATAAACAATCAAATTGGTTCTGGCCCTGGGTGGCAGATTGCACTCGAGCACACAGCAGCCTTCTAGCTGAAAGCTAAGCTAAATCACCCACTGAAAGCATAAGCCTTCTTTACCATTTATCACTTCCTTAGCATTTAACACTGAAACTCAGAAGAAATCCAGCTTTTATTTTTGCTTTGTCCTACTCACTCTCCCCAGGCTCAAAAGCCTGCTAATTCCTCTGGAGTATCAAAGTTCCAAATCCAATGTAAACAGGCTTTTTTTTTTTTTTTTCACCTAGCAGTGAGCATGGCAGTCACAGAGATGGGAGAAATGCTCCCTGTCTAGTTCATTTCAAACCAGAATTTAGTATTAATTCTGTCACTTTTTAATGTGACTTTTAGTGTGGAAAGTAGTAGGCTGACAACACAGGAAAATGCAATGCTGTATTCCTCTGCTGAACTTAGGCAGGCATGGTCCGAGATCATCTTCTAATGTCATGGTGTTGGCTAGAATGGAAGTGCCACAGTAATTTTAGGTGAGATTAGCCAACTAGCAGAAGAACCTGCTCTGACAGAATATTTTTGCCAAGCTTTATGCAGGCAGTTACAGAGGATTAGAGAGAAACAACAGGTGGCACATTGCAGTGGACACAGAGAGACTCTTCCTATTCCCTTATTCTACTACCCGAGCTGAGTTACACACTACAAAACCCATCTTCCTTGCAAGAAGGAGCAGAGTAAAATACCATTTGGCTTAAATCCAGACCTGCTTGTGAATGTAAGTTAAATCTGTTTTCTTCCCTATTTCTTTTGTTCTGTCTTTTTAATCTTCATGGAGATTTTCCATGGTGGCCCTTCAGTAATTAATGGCCCTGACTGGTATGTATCATAAACTCTTCTAATGTCACAAGAGCTAAGAACATTCCTTGGTCTCTTGGTATCCTGGCTGGGGGCAACATGGAGTTACAGAACGCCGACAAAACTGTAGTAGGACACTGGGCTATTCTTGTCCTCTTCTGCATAATCATGTTGGGGCAATCTCTTAATTTAGGCCAGAGGAACAATATTCGTAAAATCCCACTATGTAAGCCTTTCAGGCAGGTTCTTGCCTTGCAGTGGGAACTGACATACTGTCAAAGTTGACAGCACTGTGTCAGTTTATTTCAGCAGAAAAGCTGGCCTTTTCTTTCCTCCCATCTCCTGAGCTCATCTGCTCCCGTTATATGAACCCTGGCTCACTACTGCCCTTAATAAAATCTCCCTGCGCCATATGCTCCCTTAGCCTCTCTTTGATTAGCGCTCCCAGAGTCTTCCTCGTGGCTGACGTCAGGTGCATGCACAGCTCTGCAATTTCCCGACAGCCCTTTTCAAATACTGGCTTTTAATTAGGCTCTCTGTGTTTTACCAGCACTTCCTTCTTTCACTGACTGCCTTTGAAGCGATGAGACTGTTAGGGGTGGCCCTTCTCCACTGACCTTTTTTGTTGTTTCCATACAGGATTCTAGGACAGAATTTCTTAGCTTTTCAGATGCTCTGATTTTTTTTGCTGTGTTGTGATCCTAATTTCCTTCAGGATTTCTTCTTCCTCTCCTGGGAAATTTGTCTTGGTTTCTGGCATCTTTCCTTCCTAACCCTTTGCGCTTTTTTTTTTCCTTCTAAAGAGAGGGGAAAAGAATCCGTTTAATATTTTTCTGTAGTAACGTCTATCTCATCTGTCAATAAATTAGCCTTTGCCATCTCTGGGAGACCCCTTTGTCTCCCTTCACTGACCTTATTCTGTACCTTGCCTTATTTTTTTTAAGGGAGGATGCAATATCCCTGGGCTGTCATTCCATGAAGAACAGCTGTCATTCCTCCCATAGTGTGTGTGTGTGTGTTTGCAGAGGGAGGGGAAAGAGATGGGGGAATTAGAGGAAGACAGGGAGCTGCCATTGGAAAAGCTGATGGTCCTGTTCACAGTAGTGAATGCTTTTTCATTCAGCTGGCAATTCCATCTCTTTGTTTTAGTGGTTTCAGACTGTCATTTTTTGATTAACAGAAATCTGACAGTCATATATCTGACATATATCTACAAGAGCATTTACTAAATAAATGTTTTTAAAAAATCATTATGTGTATACTTTATACATTTATAATTTCTTCACTGCAACAGTGAATGTTATCTCACTGTCAGAGTTGCAGTCTGATGCCAGAGAGCAGGATTCAGGAACCAAATCTATGTGGCTAAGAAAGCATGTGACTTTTCTCTGTATTTTCAGCGGTAGGAACTCAGATGGTCACTAATAGAGTTAAAGAGCATGGTATAGTCCTGCAAACAACTAGGTAGCTGGCAGACCAGCACGGGGAAGAAGAGTCCACGACTCCAGCAATTCCAACCCTTTCTTGTTTCCTCTCTGCGCTGTTTGAAGCCCTACAAGGAAGTCATCAGGGAGCGTTTCCTGTGTATCTTATGATCCAAGGGCTGTTTTACGCTGGCCACACAGGGCTTACAGACCAGTTCCTTTCCTCTGCCCCTGCTCCCCTGCACAATCTAACCATAAATTAGTACAGTCCAGAAAAGCAAATTCTGCGTTTGATCAAATTTTACCAGTATCTTAAATAAAAGAAATGAAAGAAATCTACCTAAGATGCCCTCATTTCTGTAGCATCTGGCGGTTGTACTTCTTAATGCATTTATTTTCACAGTATCCATGTGAAATAAGGACATACGGTTATTATCATTATGCAGGTATGGCGTAGAGACCCAGAAGCTGTGTCCAAAGTGACCTGAAGATGCAAAACATAGCACATGGCAGGGTCTTCATCCTTCACTGTCGCAATCAGAAACCTGGTGACTTGTGTTTGATCCACCCTTGTGGTTTCCTTTCTTTGGAAAGCAGAGCCCAGGCGCTCTGTATGTTTCACAGGAATACAGAGGTCAGGGCACAGCTTGGGTACTCCTCCAGCTCAGCGAGCTCAGAAGTGTTCCCAGGCCTCAGATTAGCCACAGCAAGAGTGAAACTAAAGAACTCACACTACACCAGAAGAGGTCTAGAGGGGAGGTACCTATCGAACTTGTCATATCCTTGTCCTATGCTAGTAGCATCTGCAGAACATCTTTTCTTTTAAAAGCACTATACTACTTACTTTTCAACTGCTTTGTGACTGCTCTCTGCTTTGGCCCTTTCTCTCTCACCTTAGGGCTCTGACTCACAGTCTTTGTTGGATTTAGCTGCTGTAACAGAAAAGGGAACCCATTTCCACAGCTAGAAGCAATAAATTCTTTAACCATCACAGCTAAATATGTTGATATGATCTTGAATTAAATTGCTCATTTCTGCAGTTCTCCGGCCAGGATATCAGTGTAAATTGGAATCAGTGGTGATTTACATTAGTGCATCAGGCAATGAACTGACACAGGTCAGCAGTGGACACACCATTAATTCAGCCACCTCTGCTTTGTGTTCGCTACCTGCAGCACCTTAGTAACGCAGACAGCTGAAGACAGTAACGTTCTGAACTTCCTCGGATGAATCAGTAGGGCTTGGGAACCAGAACCTTCAATTCCCTGGGATCGAAAATCAAGGTACTGGAAGTAGTCTCAGGACTATGCCTTCAGGAACTGAACAGTAGCTAAAGCTCAGCTGGCACATGGAAAGATTTTCAAATGTTTCCTCCTACTGGTAACAGCAGCAGCTGCTCCAGCAGCATGAGCAAGCTGGGAGCCTGACGAAGAATGACACCTGGCTACTGCCATCTTCAGGACTATACCGTGTAATTATTCAGGTCTTTTGTAAAAAACACCTGTGGCAACTGGCAAAGCATCTGCACAAACATTCCCAACCCTCAGGCTGAGAAAATTTTAAATAGCCTTAGTAATAGAACATAACATTAAAATCTTGATGATGAGTGAGCGTGGGTGGAATAATTGTCTGTTCAGAGAGAGGCGGCTTTTTCTCACTTCTGTTCCTGTAGTTGAATTCTTATCTCTTGGATAAATAAAAACAGTGCTCACCAGTTATTATTGTTCTTGTTCACCTTTGACTCTTGATTAGATTTACCGCAGATACATCCCTTTGGCAATGAAAGAGGAATCAACACATTTCTGATGCATGCCAGTGGAATCCGTACCCCCTGCCTTACCTCAGACAGTCAAGCTCACAGTTTTCTGAATGGCTGTGAATCATCCATCCTTCTAACTCATGGCTAAGACATACCTTTTTTGAGTGAACACTCAACCATGATCAGGATGTTCTATATCACGCTGAATTTTTACCTTGTTTTTAATCCTCATCATTTGGAACCAAGTCAATTATCTCTCTTAAGAGAGAAACGCATGGTGACTCACTTGGGCTGCTTTTCCTTCTATATTTTTCAGTGTTTTCCCTGAAGAGGCCCCAGGATTATTGCAAACCAGTCCCAGGAAGAAATGCTGCTCAATTAGGCGAAAAGAAACTCGAAGGAAAAAAAAGGAGTAGAGCCAGTAAATTGCTTGAGATAACAATCTCCCCCCACCCATGTGTCTCTGTAACTAAGAGGATTAGCTGAACTTTCTGTGTCACACCAAAACTGACAATAAGCAACAGTGACTTCCCCCTGCTGGCACTTGTACCTTCACATGTTTCATTTTCTTGCCCATACTACTGCCTTGCCCCTTGCTGATTGTATGACAAACTTGGGAGTGAACATGATGGCTCTTTCCTTTCCTGTAAGATTTATGACTCAAAGCCAAACAAAAAACAACTCTAGTTATGACATGCTCTGTTGCTTCCTCGCAATAGCTTTCACTTCTAACAGCATAAGCTAACCAGGGAAACATGCAAATATGGTCTACTTGATCTCACCTACTCTAGCAGCTGTATGCCAGAGATACAAACAGTAGCCTCAGCTCTGCTACCACGAGAGAGGGCAGAAAGTCTTCCTTTGGGAGCAGGACCAAATCTGCAGGATATAGAAAGCAGAAGTCCCCTCGAAACTCAAAGCGACAGAGGCTCCATGTAGATGCAGCGCTACCTTTTGACTTTAACTGTCCCAAACAATTGATTTCTTTCTGCTGAGCTGGGTATCAACATAGTTTTCAATAAGGTGAGCAACTCTTTTTTTCATAAGCCTGCCACAGAACTTGTATAGAGAACTTGTTCTAAAAGAAAGACAAGATAATGGAGGAGTACTCCCCATCAAAAGTACAGCTCCCATCTAAGCATGCCACTCCAAGTTTCTACAGAAGACCACAGGAGAAGGTGGTGGAAATACAAAAAGTGAACCTTTCTGATACCTGAAGGGCAGCATGCAGGCACATGGAAGAAGCAAGCAGCTGTGGCACACTAAGGAAGGAAGTGGAAAGCAAGAGGAGACAGGAGAAACTGTAGTGAGCTGGAGCAGCAGAAATATTTTCACATTGGTGTAAAGCAGATACCAACACTTAAGAAAGAAGCATTGTGCAAAACAAGTCGGGATGTGGGACTCAGCTGATTGGCTATGGGTAAGGCTTGAGGGGAACTGCTGGCAGAGCAAAATCTGTAAGACATAGTGGCACTGGGTCATCAAATGCACAGGATTTGCTGGTTTTGGGGAAGTGTTTTATTGAACTCCTGTACTGCTTACCCTCCCATTGCTATATAACTCCTTGGATCTAAATTAAATCACTGTGGCATTTCTGCCACTTAAAATGGTGCAAGTATGTACTCTCAGGCCACATAAATTCAGCAAAGTATTAGTTTGAGGGCCCCTGTACAGCTTTATCTGAGATCAAAGGGTATGTGTTGAGGGAGAGAAATACCTACAGACATTCATAGACTTTTACTTCAAAAATCTGTTTGGACTGAGGTGTTGTACAAAATGCCCAGTGCATTGCCAAGGGGGAAGAGGGCCTTGTCACTCTATAGCAAGCCCTGTCTTGCCTATATGGAGCAGCAGTTTTAGTTCAAAGGGACCTAGGTCCATTCTCTTTCTCCATATACATGAAACAGGACTAGAGTGGAGCGTGGCAGCCTTTTAACAGTGCCCCACAGCACTGCAAGAGTTCAGACTGGAGAGTGAAGGACACCGTGTCCAATTGAAATTACAGAGGAATTTAGGCTAGGCAGAATGTAATTACACAATTGGAATTTAAACTGTGAAATTAAAAGGAAATATTCAAGGATGAAGGGGCAGAGAGAATCCCTAATCTCCACCCAGGCTAGGCTGCATGCCAGAAAAGTCCTTTTCTGAAGAAGGAATAAGCAAAGAGCCTGTCCTGGAAGAAAGGGAGGTTGAGAATAGACAATGTTTTCAAAAGCACCCTAACTCCAGCTGTGTGTTTGTTTCATAGGCTATGTCTATTCTACAGAAAACCTTGTGGTTGCTAAAAGGTGTCAAATGTGTGTCCCTCTTGGCCCCCTGTTCACTAAGGTCAAAAACAATTTGGTTCCTCAGGTAAGCAGCACCAGAGCATTCCCAAGGTCTGTAGCAGAAAGTGTGCTAGATGGCTGATCGAAGCAAGGAGTCCAGCACTCCTTTTCATATAGATGCAAAACACAGTTTTTAAAATAGGGTCTGCTTGACTGCAGCCTCTCTCCCTATAATATCTGACTGCTTCCCAAGTGTTAACTAATGATCCCTTTAGCGTTCCGTTTTAGTAAGAGGAGGCAGAGGAAAACACTGGAAACAGTTCTGTGGCAGTTTTGAACAGCAACTTGAATCAGGCAATTGCAAAACCTGCTCTCCAAGAGATCTGAATCAAGTTGTGGGGTGTACACCATTGTTGGCCCTTTCTGAGTAGAGAGACAGGTAGAGATGGAGCCATCCCTGCAGATCTCAGGGAGAGAATTGATAACATGCCAAACAGGGTCTTTCAGTCAAGGCACAATAGAGACAACCAGGAGCTCCTCTTCTTGGGCTGCCCAGGTGCACATGTAACAGAAGACAAATTACTTAATTTCTCTGCCTTGGTTTGCCATTCATGAAAAAGTGCAGTGATATATCCTGAATCTTCTGAGTCGGTGATTTGTAGGACATAATTGATTAAAATTGGAAGGTGCTCAGATGCCGCATTGATGACAACCATTGAAACGCGTATAAAAAATAGAGCTGGTAAAACTAAGTGCAGTGTAAGTAGCAGAGAGTGAGGAGTAGATTGAAAAACCCACCTGAAAAGATAAGTGTGCTCTTAGTGATTACCTCTCCCTTCCAAGAGGATGTGTGAAGGTTCTGAATTACAGTGTTTTTTTTTTTAATATGAAAATGAAAACCATGTTTCTTTTTCTTTTTGCTCCATCTCCAGAAGAGCAGTTAGCTAGCTTCTGGGAGAGGTAGAGTATTATGAGATGGTACAACTTTTCTGCTAAGGTTTAATTGGCTGGGAGATTCAGGGGATCAAGCCAGAACTCTCAGAAATAAGAGATGCTGGGTTATCCTTTCTCCAGTCTAGAGGCAACAAAAGAGGGATAGACAGAACTAGAAAGCAGTTTGGTTGAAAGAAGTCAGAAGATTGTGCAGGGAAAAATAACAATGTATATATGCAACTGGCAGTCTTCATTCCCTTACTGCTGTTTGCATGCAGCAGTCCCAGTGTTCATAGGAAGGAGCTGTGACCAGGGGAGACAACGTATTACTGGAATGAGGTTCCAAGCTGAGGGTGGGAACAGACTGTCTTACTGTGCTCAGGAACAGGAGGCGAAAAAGAAAACAACAAAGGGGAGGAAGGAGAGAGAGCTTTGTGGTTAAAGTGCTGAACTGCACAGCCTCAGCACACCTAGGCTGAGGTCCACTCATGTTTCCACTGTGACCCTGGAGGAACTGTGCATGATCTTTATATTGCTTTTCGTCACTTCCCCTTCTCGACCAGGGAGCTCCTAATCCTATCTTTCCCTCAGTCTTTGTCGGCCATCTCTCGAAATTGCAGGCTTTTTGAGACATGGACTGTCCTTTGCTATTTGTATCTGTAGCGTCTAAAAAAATGAGACTGTAACCTCAGTTGGTCTCTCTGTAAGGGTTTATATTACATGCGAAAAATAGTAAACAGCCAGAGAGAAAAAGAAGAATGTAACTGCAGGTGAGACAATCTAAGCAGTCTAGAGGTGAAAGGAACAGAGGCAGACTGCTCTGAAGCAGAAGTCTCCATTGCAGTATGAAGAAAGTATCTGATCAGCAAAGGAAAGGGAAAGCTGAAGCAAACATGATGCTAGAAACAGGACCTCCTTGAGATGGAGAGAAACCTGATGTGAAGAAAATATAATAGTAGAGACATTGTGTGAAAAAAGCGGTATCAGGGATGCAAATGTGAGTGGCACACTGGAACTGGAACAGAGCAGATAGTTTGTTCTTAGTATCTCTGTACAATAGAGCTGGGTGATGAAAGGGCTAATTTCCTTCCCAATCTGCTTTTTGCAAAATAATGTGATTTGTATTTCATTTGTCCCCTGCCTCCCCACCTTAAAAAATATCCTTGTCTCTAACACACTACTGAATTAATTCTAGCAGGAGAGAAAATTCAGGAGGCAATGTAACCAACATAGAAAATGTATTATAGGCACAAAAAGTAGAGCACAACAAAGGATCTCTGCAGGAGCTAGGAACTAGGAGATATCTGAAAAAAACAAAACAAAACAAAAACCAAAAAAAAAAAACAGACACAGACATATTGCTGAGCTTTAAAAGATTTCAAAATAAATTTGTACCCTTTACAGTTGTGTTCATTTTGAACACTGCTGTTTTTTGGTGCCAGAAAATATTTTTAAAGCAAAATCCCTGAGAAAAATGATTCTGCGAGGTAGACAAGTCCATTCAGAGAACAAAAACACACAATGTCCTGCAAGGGGCTCACTGCTTTGGCTCTGTTTTAGCAAAGCACGTAAGCATGTTCTTAACTGCAAGTATGAGAACAGCCTCATTGTCTGCAGGTGAATAACTCCTCAGAGCTACAACCTAAATATTTTTGTGAAACGAGGCTAGAGTGCTCGGCTTCTCTTACGTTAAGCTTTGTATCATTTTTGTGTCCAATTAGCTCAAATTTCAAATATTCCCAACAAGCTCCTCATGAATAAGATGCCAGAAGAAGTTTGTAGAAATCACAAGCTGTTTGCAGACAATTCACAACTGAAGTAGAGGTAAAATTTATCTGATAAATTATTCATCGCAAATGATTTGGCTGGCTTTCCTGGATATATAGCCATGGGGATGTATGACACCTTGGGGAAGGCATCAGACAGAGATATGTTCAAACTAAACTAGAGAAGAGGATGCAGATGTAGATCTAGAGCAATCTTTAAAAAGGGAGGGGAGCAGATACGTGCCGAAATGGGATGGAGTTCTCCTCTTTATAGCCAGTCCATTAGAAACACAGCATCCGTTAGTAACTACTGGTTACCAGAAAAAATGGTAACACATGGGTTTGCAGAGAGCTATTCTTTGGCAGCTGTGGGGTGCAGCTAACTGGGCAGAAGCTGAGTGAGAGCAAGGACTAAATCAGGTGTGCGAGTGGGAGCAAATTCTCCCTGAGAAGAGGCTGCTATCAGGGAGGAGGTTCCTAGGAAGTAGCCTGCAGGAGTGAGACGAGTCTAAGGGTGAGATGGGAAGATACGGGGGAGAATATTCAGCGTCGGCAGGATTAGAGCTGTGCAGAGTCTTAATCTAGCTAGCCCTTTCTCTACACCTTTATCTGTCGTGGTGCAGCCACTGCGTGCAGCAGGGCTGGTATAACCTGGCCATAAAACTGGATTAACTGGCCTGCGAGGATCACGCCTGAACAGAAGAGCAGCATGACAATATGCTGTTGTTTACATTTTCACTTCTGTGAGTTTAAAAATAGATCTTCTGAAAGACAAAGTGCTTAATTACTGGCATGGAGTATCATCAAATGAATGTGTAAGTATAGAATTACAGTGTTAGGGAAAGGTCTCTGCTGTTTCATAGCACAGTCCATTTCCACTGGTGTTTTCTGCAGTATTGGGAGGTTATTTTATAATATGGAAGAATCCTCCATTATCAGAGAAAATTATTTTTAAATAAAAATGTGCAAATTACCTTTCTGATTGAGCCTGCACAGAGAAACCCTGCTGTCTCCCTCCCTCAGCCTTTCCTTTTTGGCTCTTCTAGCGACTGCCTCTGATACAAGTCATAATTTTCTCCAGCAAAGCAAGCAACGGTGGATTCTTGCCACTTCTCTGATTTCACAAGGTTTTAAGCCCCTCAAGAAAGTCTGGCTTGGACTCTGACGCATTGGAGTTAATGAGTCTTGGAAAACGGTAGACTAAGTTCTTAATGAAAACTATCCTATATCTTCTATTCCCTTTTTTTTTTTTATCATTATACAAATGTACATTACCAAGCTCAGGAATAATATATATTTATGCAATCTAACGCTTAAAAATATTAGCATGTTTTATTATTGCTCTGCCTAATTTGTCAAGTATAAGCAACACTTTGTTTCTTTAGCCTATTTAGCTTATTGCTTGTGCTGATTTGGAAGTTTTGAACCTAAAGCTGATTTTATTTGTGGGTCCCTCTGCTCTCTTAGTGTTTGCTGTACACTCTTTTAAGGTGTGTGTTGGGGGGAAGCACAAAGCCTGACTCCCCTTTCCTTTTGGGTTAGTCAAATTTGATGCAGAGCGTGGAAGAGGAGAAAATACTCGTTTGAGAAAGACACCGCAGGAGCTTTGCGCTGCCCAGGACTAGGGATGCGTCAGGGAGGGCTTCTGAAGAGGAGACTCATCTCCTTGTCATGGCTCTTCTCTGAAGGAGTAACAGACCACGGACCACGGCTGACGCACCCCTCCTCGGCACAGCACTGAGGGTCCTGTTATTTCATTTCTTTGTATTCGATTCCTTTTTATTCACAGGGGATTAATTTTGCTTGCAGCTCGGGGAACTACCTGTCTGGCAGATAACAGTTATGACGGGTGTTTCCCCAGAACAGCTCTTCTTGAAATGCCGTTTCCAGCAGCCTCACGCTTATATTTGAACGTGTTTGCGTCCAGCCGCTCCTCTTTTATCTACCGTGATTAACTGTTTGTGCGGCTCCCGAAAGGCCCGGTGGCCGAACAGTTAATAAAAAACGGATGAGGCAGGGTGGGAGTTGTTCCCCGTCGCGGAGGGCG